GGGAAGTAAATAGCTGGATGCAATTTTAAACCAGCCATTTAAATTCTGTGATATTAATAATAAATGCTTCCATTGTATCTTAAAAAGGGGAAAAAATCCAGATTTCTTTGCTCTGCCCTTGTTTTGTGGCCAGATGTGCTTCTTCCCCAGCGTGGCTAGGAAATGAGCTCTGGCCAGGCTTGGTGGCCGGCATCCCAGACCCTGGGGTAGATTGTCCTCAGATTGTCCCAGCAGGGCCCGGATTCCTAGCACCCAAAGTCTGCCTGCTCCTGGGAAGTGCACCACTCTCACCTACCTGGCCCGGAGACACCGTGGACAAACCCCAGCGTGCTCTCCTTCTCCTCATCCTCTAGCGTAGGCAGGCTGGAGAACTCCATGGCTCCCGCGCTGCAGGGAACCAGCTCCGGGGTTCAGCGGCGGCTGAGTTTCCAAAGAGAGACACATTTAAATCAAACTAGGGGGTTGCTCTGCTGGTGCCCTGCAGACCCAGCTGGCTGCTCGCACTGCTCTACAGGGAATCGGTGCCTGTCAAGTTCTCTCTTGCTTGAGATTTAGGCCAGCCATGCCTCCCATCAAATGCCTCTTCCCCCCTCTACCCCCAAGACAGGGCTGCTGGTAGGCGCAGGGGTGTGTGACCTGGGCTTCCCCATGGAGCTCACAACTGAAACACGCCAAGTGCCAACACTCAGTGGGTCCCAGGGGTCTCTCTGGCATGGAGGAGGGGAGCCTGAATTGCCCCTTGAGTCCGTGGCCTGAGAGAAGTTCAGAAGAAAGGGCCTAGCTTTCTGCAGGCTCTGGATATGCCCGGGGCTGTCAGCAATGACCGTGGGCGTCAGCCAGCCAGGTTGGGAAACTCCATAGTAATCATGAAAATGTAGACTCTGTGCTGGGGAGGAGAGTGAGGCTTAGAGTGATGAAAAATGGGGCTTGGAACTGTGCTCTGGGGAAACAAACTCCCTGAGCAGGGGTGGGGAATCTCTCAGAGAGAGGATTTCCTGTGTCCTACTGCCAGAGTCTGGGTCACAGCAAGACTGGCCTGGACATGTTTGCTAGTCCTCTTTGTGCTAACTCACACTCCCCTCCTCCAAAAGCTGGGGGCAGAACCCAGGGGTCCTGAATCCCAGCCCACTGCTCCAACCACTAGACACCACTCCCCTCACAGATACAGAGATAGAAGCCTGGGGTCCTGATTCCCAGTCGACTACTCTTAAAGGGCTGGGTTGCAAGTGGTGTTGCAGATGAAAGAATTATTCCTACCTGCTCGTCTCAGGCGCTGTCTGTCCTCTGCCCCGTGGCTGGCAGGCTGTGAGCAGTCACCCGGGCTGTGCCCTGCCTTCACATAGGTTTACACAGCAGCAAGGCAGAGAGGACAGGGCCAGGGCTGGCTCCCTCCTGCTTTGAAACCAGTTCTCACCTGAGCAGGTTCCAGGGAGCTAGGAAGAGCTTGGAGGTCACTGGAAGGGGAGTCAGGAAACAGAGCGCTCAGAGCCAGCATCAAACAGCCAGCAGAGCTGTGTACAGTAAACAGTCTCTGTAGGTGGCTCTATGTCCCGCTGCCCTCCCTTTCTGTCCCCATCCAGCGGCTCCCCACAGCCATTGACTAGCTGCCCCCATCGCCCTGTCTCCCACCCACCGTCCGTCCCTAAGCTCACCCCAGGCTGCACAGCTGAGCAGCCTCCCCGCAAGGTGCTCGCCCTGGGACTGTCCTACCCCAGTGTGGGTCATCCCCGCAGCCTCATTGCTTGTGCTATTGAGAGCAAGGCTGGGCCAACCCCTGGAGCCTGGACCAGGGGACTCAATCTTACATCAGACAAGGGGACAGGGTATAAGAACTCTAACCATTGCTCAGGCCCTTTGCAAAATCCTCCTCTACATGGGGATGCAGCTGCTTCTGGGGTGGAGTGCAACGGGGGGCACGCAGGATGCTGCACTGTTGATGGGAAGGGGCAATGGCAGCAAGGAGACCATGGCGAACTCTTCCTCCCCCAAAAAGAGTCTTTAATGTTCTGCCAGGGCACCTACTCTGACATGGTTTCAGCTCTGTTCATTTACAAGCCAGGGTGGTGCAGACCAGCGAAATGGGACAGTCAGGCAGTAAAGCACGTCATAAACCTCAGAGCATAGAGCCTCACGAGCTCCCCGAGACGTGGGTTTGTTACACCCATTTTACAGTTGGGGAAACCAAGGCACAGGGCAAGAAAAAAAACCTGACGCAAAGTTAGGGAGCGAGAGGAAGCCAGAAGTCCTGATTCCTGCATCTTAACTACTGGACCCCACACCTCAAAGTTGAGAGCAGAACCCAGGAGTCCTAGCTCCTGGCATCCTGCTCTAACCACTAGCCCCCACAGTAGCCAAGAATTCCAGCTTTAATCACCCAGCCCTCACACACTATCACATGGCTGGGAACTGAACTCGGATTCCTGACTCCCCACCTACTTACTTTAACCACCAGATCCCCCCTCAGGGGCTACTGGTGCTTGCAGAGGAGGGGTTGCAGGGAGGGCCAGACAGCGGGATATATGGGGGCACCCCATTAAGCAATTAACATTTTGGTGGGGACTTCCAGGGGCAGTGCACCTCCCAAGTGCTACCATGAATCACCTATGGCAGGTACCAGGCTGCTGCAATCTGCTACTCTAGCAGTTATTGACACTGAGGGGTTCTCTTTGGCTCATCTGTCCCGACCTCTAACTTGGGGGAGCAAATTCTATGCATGGGGACATTCCCACTCTAATGTGCTACCTCCCATGGTTCTGTGTCCTCTACCTTTCCCCCTCTCCCTGTCCAGGGGCAGCAAGCGGTGGTGGATGGGGCCCTTCCCATGACCATTGTGAAATTTCTGCACACAACCAAAGACAGGTGGTTTGGCCATGTTGAAAAGCATTCGACAGAGTTCCACCACAGGGCTATTGCATATAAAGCCCTGAAGGAAGACCTCACTTTTTCTTATTAGTCTCTTTCCATTGGACCGTAGGCCCCCGAGTTTCTACAGTAAACACCCAATTTATGCACACAAAACACTGGCGGTGTGGAAAGCGCTGTAAACAGTGTTACCTCACCCATCTTGTCTCGTCAACATCCTGGTACTAACGGAGTTGCAGGTACTCTACAGAGACAGCATTTGAAATATTTTTGAATTCCTGCCGCGAAACACTAGCCATTCCACAGACAGAGGTGGAAGTGAGTGGGTGCCCATGATCACAGCTCCAGCAAGAGCTGGCTGAGCTGCGGCAAAAGCCAGCAAGGAGCTATTTTAAGAGCTGGCAGAGACCTGTAAGACAGTACCTGTAAGAAATGTTAAGTTACTTTCACCATTGCTCGCTTTGAACGGATGCTCTGGTTTCCTCATACAGACTCCGGCTGCCCCGTCACTGGTAGGTGCATTGTTCAAGGTTTTCAACTCAACATTTGCACCCCTGTCCAAAACCATGTCCTCTGCGAGAACATCTGGGGAACTGTCTTCTGAGTCTCCTTCATGCCCCGGAGGAGGAAAAGAGGCCTTCTTTGGCCCCCACTTTGGAGCAGCTGCCCCATGTCCCCTAGTGCCCATCGCTCCTGCAGACAGACCCCACAGGGCGCATGAGGCTCTGCTGACAGCTTCTTGGGGAGCTCAGCTCCCCTGTCTCAGCTCCGCCTGCCCTTGGTGCTGTTCTAGTCACCCCTGGCTGTTTTTCGGGGCATTTCCTTTGCCACCAACGAGCGGGACAGGAGCCCTCCCTTGAGAATCACTTGACAATTATTTCCCCCCCCCCTGAAATGT